TGACAGGGGGGGGCTCCCCAACCCCCTGATGGGCCCTGCTCTGTGCATGACAGGGGGCAGTGCCCAACCCCCTGATTGGCCCTGCTCTGTGCGTGACAGGGGGTGGCGCCGCAACCTCCCCATCGACCCTGCCTTGAGTGTGACAGGGGGCGGTGCCCCAACCCCCCAATCGGCCCTACTCTGAGCGGGACTGAGGGTGGCATCGCAACCTCCCGATCCGCCCTGCTCTGTGCATGACGGGGCGGTGCCCCAACTCCCCAATCGGCCCTGCTCTGAGCCTGACCAGGGGCTGCACCTAGGGATTGGGCCTGCCCTCTGCCACCCAGGAGCAGGCCTAAGCCAGCAGGTCGTTATCTCCCGAGGGGTCCCAGACTGCGAGAGGGCACAGGCCGGGCTGGGGGACCCCCCTCCCCACCCCCAGTGCACAAATTTTTGTGCACCGGGCCTCTAGTCCTATATAATAAAAAGCTAATATGCAAATCAATGGAATGGCGGAACGACTGGTCGCTATGATGTGCACTGACCACCAGGGGCAGACGCTCAATGCAGGAGCTGCCCCCTGGTGGTCAGTGCACTCCCACAGAGGGAGCACAGCTCAGCCAGGAACCCTGAGCCAGGCTCACAGCTGGCGAGTGCAGTGATGGCAGAGCCTCTCCAGCCTCCACAGCAACACTAAGGATGTCCAACTGCCAGACATCCCCCGAGGACTCCCGGACTGTGAGAGGGTGCAGGTTGGGCTGAGGGAACCCCCTGAGTGCACAAATTTTGTGCACTGGGCTGCTAGTATTTTAGATAAATGGTGAAAATCTAACCCAAAAAGTATTACCAATTTATAGGTCCCTTAATAAAAAATAATGAGGCAAAAAGGAATGGTGAAGTGTTCACAAGAGGGCATCAAACTTCTTTATACATGAGGAAGTATTGGGGCCAAGTCTTAGAATATAACTATTAAATGTGCAAAAAGCAGTTTTCCTATAAATATTTCATTGCTGAACAGTATAAAGCATTAGCTATTTTAAGACCCAACTGAATAAATATTTGTAGAGTTATATAAAATTCAATAAAGCTTTTAAACAAGATGTATTATTATATTTCCATCTATTCATCAGGGAAAAGGTTAGAAAAATGTTTATTTTACTATTGTATTAGGCAAATATATTTTCTATAATACAAGTAAAATTAGTTACCTGAATGATATAATCATGAAACATATATCCAGAACGTTCATTCAATTTTTCACTCCATTTTGGGGGGAAAAAATTATAGTAGGCCAAGCCACCAAGATTCTGAGGTTTATCTGTTGTAGCAACTAGCATTACTCTAATATACTACTTTGCAGGACTGTGAAGATTAATAAAAGCACCCACTTTAGTGCCTTAAAAGACTGTATCATTAGGGCCCCTCATTGCATTGTGTGCCTGTCTTCTGCTTCACTGTCTATTCCTTCAGATGATCTTGAGGAGTCTGGAAGTCAAATACTATTTATAGAGGAGGAGCGTGAGAAGGTAACGGCCTGGGCCTTCTGGTTCCTTAAGGAGTTTGGAGTTGTTATGCATTAACTTAATGCTGTGACCTCTGGCCCCTGGTCAGCAATTAGAAGTAGCTCTCATTAGGGCAAGTCCCTTTGATACCATTTGTGTGATGAACATCATCTTTGAAGTATAATTAGAGTCAACACAATTGAATGCTCACTATGTACCTCCATGCTAAGCCCTCTATGTGGACCAGCTCTTCAATCATCACACAAACTATGTGTCGGTGCTATTATTACCAACCCCATTTTACTGGAGCCTGAGGCATAGGGGTAGGAAGTGACCTGCCCAAGGTACCCCAGCTACAAAGTGGAGTAAGGATTTGAAAGCAGCCCATCTCTCTCAAGCTTGTGTGCTCAGTTCTCAGTAATAACAAGATAGTTGGGGCGTGCTAAAATGATACCCCAAAAAGTACTTTAAAAAAAGAAAAATCCCATTATTTTAAATATACACTGATCCTTCCCCCAAGATTTTCCAACAAGAAATGAAAATGTGCCAATGCTACTTTATTCTTTATACAACTGAATATTTCAGTGAATATAGAGCAAGAGAATTATCTTTACATATTGTTCATAGGAAGAAATTTGACATTTGCCCCAAATAATTGCTGGGTTGTCTTATCTGATCCAGCTTCCCTTTGCCATTGAACTCTGGGGAAAAAAAGAAAGAAAGAAAACATACAACTCAGATGAAATCATTCTCAGAATTGAGATGAGACCATGGGCATGTTATTATATAGCATATTTTAAAATTATATCTCAATTTGACATCATAAATGCCCATAGTTGATACTTATAAGGTCTGTGTTTGCTGTATCTAATTAGACCACTAGGCCTGTGTGAGTGCTGTGGCCCTAGGGGACACCTTCCCCTTTTCACCTGGGCAGCTGTTACCAGCATCTGGGCAGCTTTCTCAGGCACCTGGGCCTACTGGGGCCCTGACCACGGCCTGCAGGTCAGGATCAGGTTCCAGGTGGGAAGATGCATAGCCTCCGCGGGACAGTGGCCTCATGTCCCTGGGACCACATCACCACAAGAGGCAGAGGAGACCTAGAGCTGCCCTTGTACAGGGATGTCTGCTTCCACAGGCCGAAGACCAGGAATCTCCCCAGATTGAAACTCCGGTCTCAGAGCATCATTGAATGGAAGGAATGGCCTTGTCTGGCTGTGCTCTGAAATGTTCCCACTATAGGGAGCTTATGCCCTGCCCCAGGGTAGTTTTTTTCCTCATTAGAAGAGCCAGGTGAGAATTCACAGAGAATCAGATGGGCCAAGTGGAGCTTCCAGCCCCTCATAGGCACAGCTGAAGACAGCTCCCTTGCAAAGAGCCAGCATGAAGTGAAGGCTGCAATGTTTGCCCAGGGCCCGCTGGAACCGGGGCTCTGTGGTGCTGAGAGCAGGAAGGGGGATGGGGTAGAAGGTCCTCAAGAGTTCCATGTGGCTCTCCTTTCTTTGAACTATCACCCCTCTGGCTGCCTCTCACTACCCCCTGTCAGACTCATAACATTTCCTTGGAGGTAAAAAGCTGTAATGGGCTGACCTTGGTCTATCCTACTGGGTGTTCAGTGTTTCTTCCATTCCTTGGCTGAAAAAGAAAAAAAAAGAGCAACTTAGAAACATTGGAACAAAACTACCTGGAACCTGTTTCTTGGTTTCAGATTCTTTCTGCATGAGCCCCAAGGCCTTGTTCTCCTAACTAAGGTGTCAGCAGCCTCCTGGGGGGCTCACTAGGTGAGCCTTAGCCCCGTCTCAGTCTGTAGGTCCTCTATGGCAGAGCTCCAAGACCCTAGCTGCTTAGACACTATCTGCACTCCACCCCTCTAGCCCAGACACTGTCCCCTCTCCTGCACTCCACCCCTTAGCCTCTGTTTCTATGGCAGGACAGTCCTGAAGCTATGTGTCACAGGACTTCTCACCCTAAAGACATCATGGAGACCCACTGTTTCATAAAGTCCTTTCCAGAGAACAACTACTAATAGGTCATGCAGATTAAAAAGGTGTATGTGGGGTGGCATGGGGGTTGAGAAGCATTTCCATAGACAAAACAGTTTGGGAAACAACATATGATAAAGTCAAGTTAAACAGGTTGTTTTCTGCCAGACACATTAGTGTGCATTGTAAACCTTCAGGAATGTTGGGTGCAGTGTTTTCTAATCCGATTTGATCTTCGCATAGCAGCTCTTAGTACCAATGGCCCACAGAATGCAGTTTGAGGGGTACAAGTCTGGCTGATTTGCACATTTTTCTGATGCAAACATTGAGTATTTAGGGGTTGAAACAAAGTGAGTGATTGGCAGGTCAAATACTAAGAGATAACTCTCTGGCTCCATGATCTTTGCAAGATGCTCAAGTCCCCTGGGAAGGAGGAGAGGATGGTACTAGACTCCTCTTGCCAGTGTGTTTTGGGGCTAGGTATCCAGACCTTCATATTCAGAAACACAGACTCAAACCCTGGTTGGTCCTCGTGTCTGTCCATCACTAGAACTCCCACTTCCCACCCTTGTGTTCCCTGGTGCTCTCAGCCTGTGTCCTGGTGGACCCTTTCCTTTACAAGCATTGACTTTGTAGGGGAAAACTTTGAGAGTCACCCCCTAACTAAAGAGTTAGAGAGTCCGCACAATTGTTCACCAGTTCATCGTGGGGCCCGCTCTGCTCATTCAGCAGGAGGGAATCAGGGTTAAAAACAGAGAAAACATGTTATACCCTGAATAGAAAAAATGGTCGTCCCCAGGTAGCAGCGTGATCCTGCAACATAAAAACACAAACCATTATGCAACCATGTTGTGCCCAAGGCCTCTCAAAGATGTCTATGACAGCAGTTTTCAAAGCATGGTCCCCAGTCGCAAAGCATCAATAACACTTGAGAACTTGTCAGAAATGCACATTCACAGGCCCCTACCGAATCTCCAGACTTTAACAAGGTCCCCAGATATCTTTAATGCACTGTCAATGTGGAGAAGTACAGGTATATAGGGTTTGTGCCACTTGCAGTACCCCCCCCCCAAGTTGGTACAACTGGCATGTGGGCCCTGAGCCAGAGAAAGCCAGGTGAGAATTATTTCTTAGTCATTCATGCATGGAATTCGTGCACGAAATTCGTGCACGGGGGAGGGGGGGTGTCCCTCAGCCAAGCCAGAGAAAGCCAATTCCAGGACAGATGGCCCCAGGTGACTCATCCACAAGCCTGGAGATGAGATATTCACAGCCAGAGGATTGTCAAGGTGGCCCAACTCCAAGTGCTTCCCTGTCCTCTCGCAGATCTTTCTTGGGAGGTTGTGTTCTCCACAAGGCTTACATACCTTCTTGGTAAAGTCAAGTGCCACAGCCCCCAGATCCTGTGAAGGAAAAGGCACAGGTTAATTTCACAGGAACCACATCGTGAGGCTAGCTGTTATTCTGCTGGGATTCTGCACCTTCCTGTTCAAGGGCACAGCTATGTGGCCAATTTCAATTTCCTGTTCAGGAAAGCAAGCATGCTGTCTTGATTGAGTTACCATTTGTGTCCTGGACAATGTTATATTTGCTTGCTCTTCTCAACAGCCTCAACTTGAAATTGACCCCCAGTTTAGACACACGTCCCAGATAAGGCATTTCAGCTTCTTCAGCTTGTCTTTGCCCATGAATCTGGCATACCACTGGAGGCAAGACCCAGCCTGGAGAGCTGCGATCAGATCAGAAAAACTGCTCCCTGTGCTTGGGGTGATCAACAGATTTCTCAGGAACTGAGCAGTTTCCGGAGGGTCTTGGGATTTTCAGAGCTAAAACCAGGAAAGTCCCGGGCATACTGGGATACATTGATCACCTGACTTGGGCTCACAGTGTTCAAAAGAAGTTTTCTTTTTGCTACCATGCAACAAACCTTGATGAAGATTTTGAGGTTCAGCTATTACTGAAACTGGCAATTTCTAAACTTAATTTTTTAAAATATATTTTAGTGATTTTAGAGAGGAAGGGAGAGGGAGAGAGAGATAGAAACATCAATGATGAGTGAGAATCATTGATTGGCTGCCTCCTGCATGCCCCCTACTGGGGATCGAGCCTGCAACCCAGGCATGTGCCCTTGGCCGGAATCGAACCCGGGACCCTTCAGTCCGCAGGCTGAGACTCTATCCATTAAGCTAAATCAGCTAGGGCCTTAATTTTTTTCTTAAGAAAACAAGAACAAAACTCTGAGGTATGGACAAAAGGACAGGTGGGGCAATGGGAAACAGAGAGCCACCAAGGCAAATGTTCATGTCAAGAGAAAGAAGAAGGGACAGGAAAGGAGGCAGACAACACAAAAGCTAAAACAAACGAAAAAAAAATGTGGATGAAGCCCTGGCCAGTTTGGCTCAGTGGATAGAGTGCAGGCTGGCCGACTGAAAGGCCCCGTTCGGTTCCAATCAAGGGCACATACCTCGGTTGCAGGCTCAATCTCTGGCCCTGATGAGGGGCTCATGGGGGAGGCAACCAATCAATGTGTCTCTCTTGCATGAATGTTTCCCTCTGCCTCTCCCCCGCCCGCCCTTCCACTCTCTCTAAAAATCAATGGAAAAAATAGCCTCCGGTGAGGAGTAACAACAACAACAACAAAAATGTGGATGAAGAGTTCAGCAGAGGAGAGGACGGAGCCATGAGGGGCCAGTGGACTGGGTCAGTGGAGGAGACTGTGGCTGGGGGAGGTTAAGTAACTTGCGTAAGGTCAATGGGCCAGAGCTCCCTGCCGCAGGGAGACACAGATTTAAGGAGAGAATGCAAGTGAGTTCCAAGGCGAAGACACGCATATACCCTGGTTAATGTACCTTTACCGGCATGAAACATGGCGGAAGAAAAAAAGCACATACGCGCTGTAGAAATCTCTTCATCTTCCCATTGGCGAGCTTGGCGGCCAGCCGCGTTACAGGGCGCACCGGAGGAAACTGCAACAGATGGGCGCTGTGAGGCTGCAGGCAGCGGAGCCAGAGCTCAGCGTTCTTCGCATCCTTTCCACTCACTCCCTTACAAATGGGTTTAATTTTCAGAGTAATATCATTTCCGAGCCCGAGCTTGAAATTTTATGTTTTCAATAAAGACGCGCCTGCTTGGATAGCAGGTTTCAATTCCAACACATCACTTCAAAATATTCCCTTAGGATAAACCAGACTTTTATCTGCGTTGACCCCAAGTTTTCCGTGCTTCTGGTGTGGAGTGCATTGTTCCAAAGAAGCATCTCCACGCAGATCCTTCTGCCCTCCAGGTGCGCTCTCCTAATCTAAGGGACCAACTGGGAGGGCAGCTCCCTGACCCTCTCTCCCCGATGCATTTATTTTCCCGGACTTCTTGTCTGTGACTGCCCGCAGGCACTCAGACACACACACCTGTGTCTTATCTAGTCTTTCTGAATCCTCCTGAGAAGTCTGACTCAGAGTAAAGGTTAATTTGTGTCACGGACCATGTTTATCTTTCCCCTTCCATTGCCCCCTGCAGTGCCCATGGCCTTTCTTGAGAAAATCTCCATCCTACCTTGATTCCCATTCCCAAACCTGTACTACGCATGACTCTTTGCCTCTTAGAGGGAAAAGTACTTTGCTGGGTTTTTTAAGGGTCTTCTTGAAGACTTGGAAAGCCTTGATTACATAAATAAGTGCCTTTCTAATGGTCAAATTTCAGTTGTTGTGTCAGGGTACCTGAATCAATTTTATTCTATGATTCTAATAATTCTCAAATCATACCCTGCAGAAATTCACTTACACAACCTGTACCTGAGGGTAACTCAAGTTTATGCTAATAAAGTTAGAGGGGATGTTTATTATTGAAATAGCACCCACACATTGTGACGGTTACGAAAAAAGAACAGCCATGGACCACTATTGGGGGGTATGGTGCTTTACACTTCACAAAACACTTTTCATAATTTAAGAACAGAGGGTAATATGGAACAATATAAATAGAGTTCCGCTTGTCAGGTTCTTGTACATCTGTTTAAGTGCATAATGAAAAGTTATTCCTTACTTATTTTTCCTTTTCTATAAGTTATTCTCTGTCTTTTTAGATCTGTCAGCCTCCTCCCACTCCAACCTAGGGAGGGAGACAGGTAGTCCCTACCGGCCTGGGGAAAGGCATCTGGGAAGCTGTTACACGGAGACAGTCTAAGACCTTCGGCTGATCTGCACGTATTAATTAGGAAGGAATAAAGGCATGCAGAGGGGAGGGACTTTTACAAAGATGATTACGATACAATACCAACCCCAATTTTAACTGGCTGTGTTGGCTCCCGAGTTCTGGAGTAGTCAAATAAAAACTGAATAAGAAAAAAAGGTTCATTTTAGTCTTGTGTCACTTGCTACAAAGTAGAAGTTGCATGCCCTTGCTACTGGGCTGGGCAGTACTCACCCTTTTGTATATGTCTCGATTATCCTGGAAAGAGAATTGTGAGGGCAAGTTACATGGAATTTTACTGTGGCAGGTAACTGACAAAGTTTTCAGTATCTAAGTTACACAATGAAATATATAGGATGTACCTTAATATTATGAAATAAATTGCCAAGCTAAAAAGAAATTCATTACATAAACTAAGATTATACTGATGCAGGATCTTATGAAAAACAAAGTTGGCAGCAATACACCATCATTTTAAAACTTAATCTCATTTTACCTTTTCAAGCTTCAGGGGAAAACATACTCTATGATGTATAGAAGAGATACCAGAATCTATTCCCAGATAACCACCTGATATAGAATTGGAACAAAATAATGATTGTAATTTTTAATTTGCTGCTGGGTATATCCTAGAATTCAGCTTTTTTAATGGTTGGCTCCAATTGACCAAACTTTTTTTCCTAAAACATTCAACACGAATCTTCACTGTTCTTGCACAAAGCATAGTTTTTCATTTCTAAGTCCTTGTTAGAGCACCACCTGCCCTTCTTTGCATAGATGACAACCTGGAAAAAGGTGTGTGGGCAGCATATTCCACTCAAGGATGCTGTGAAGAAGGGTCTCACAAAGTGATAGCACAGGATTCCATGTCTGTATTTTATAAAATTGCTAGAGATGATTACTGTGAAAGCACTTTTAAATTTGTTGATCTGGCTGCTATTGATCATTCATATCTCATTCACATTAAAACATTATGGAATCAGCTTAAACTCCATTAACACAGAAATAAAAAGTTTTTAACAACACTTCTAATTTTGTTGCTCTCCCTGTAAACTTTGTGGAGAGTTTCTGCAGCAGCCAATATCTATGCAGTCTCTCTGTCTCTCTGTCTCTGTCTCTCTCTCTCTCTCTGTCATGTACATACATGCACATACATACATATGGGCACAGACACACACTACAGGGGGTGGGCAAAGTAGGTTTGCAGTTGTTCATATGGAAAATAATACACTTAATAAAAATATAAGAATAGACTCTGTGTTTCATGTACTTCCAACTGTAAACCTACTTTGCCCACCCCATAGAATTCCAACATCATTAATAGCAGAGGTTCTGTAGTGAGTTCCTCTATTTCCTTATAATTATAAATTCTAAAATTTGCCATTTTTATAGCTTTTGGTCTCCTTGTCAGCATCTGTTTGCTGTGTGTGTGTGTGTGTGTTCTGAAAAAGTACTGGGTGAACAATTGTGTGGTTTTTTGTACCATGTTTATCAACTTTTTACCATTACCTGTCAGACCAAAAAACAAAAAGAAATACAAAGATCTTTTTTCAGTTGCTAAACACCACTCTCAACATTTTATATGAACTTTCCTTTCTTTTTTTTTTACCCTAAAAAGAAAAATGTTTAAATGTACTTATCTAAATTATCTATTTCCCTAACTACAATGCAAGTTCCATGAGAACAGGTAGTTTTGTCTGTTTTGATCACCACTGTATATCCTTAGCACCTGGCACATGGCATGCTTTCAATAAGTACCTTTTTCAAAGGGATGAATAGTAGGGCTGTGCTCATAAGAATCTGTTGCCCCCTTTCCCATCTAAATTCTTCTGATCCCACATAGTGACCAGAAGCACAAAACACACAGAGTGTTACAGTTTGCAGATTGTGATGCTTTCTGAGTGGCCTTGTTATGAAAGTTCCCTAGAGACACAGACCTGGACTCTCCCGGAGACCAGCGCTGAAGGGGACTTAGAGCCGCGCAAGTCATGCAGACACTGGGTAGGAGAGGAGACCCAAGCCCAGGAGAGGAAGTGACATGTTGAAAGTTACACTTCAAGGCAGACGAGACGGAGTCCCTCTATTAATAGATTTAAAATATGGGTAGTTGTATTCACTGAGCAATGCCTTGCTCTTTTGCGATTGGAAACAATGAACAGGATCAGCTATGGTAAAATGCAGGCAATGAAGGAAATACATCCAAATGCACCTTTGCAACTGGGGAATCACACAACCCAATTTAGTACTGAAGGTAGCACATGTGAAGCCACACTTCTACTTCCTGTGCTTATGAAGGAGCACCCCCACAGCCTTGGTGTGAGTGAGGGATAAGGAGCCCTTTCGGTGTGAGTGAGAAGGCAGTGGCAAGGAGATGGAGAACTCTCTCACCCTGGATTTTTGCTCTGGGTATCAAGGTTGTAATGATTAGTTCTAAAAGATGACAATTGTCTTCAAACATACGCATAATGGTAAACTGAAAATGAGAAGAGATGGGCACGATATACTTATGAAGTTTAAGAGAGAAAGTGATGTTTAAGTTTTGAAGAATGGAAATTCGTTTCATCAAGAATCAATGGGGGGAGGGGGAATAAGAATCAATATGGGGAAAAGGGGACATCTGTAATACCTTCAACAATAAAGATAAATGAAAAAAAGAAACAATGATAACAGCTAGCACTTAAGTGCTGTCACTTTCTATCTTGTAGACACTGTTGAAAATACTTCACAAATATTAAAACAATTTAAGTGAACATTACTTACATAATATTGTGAGGCTATTACAGCTATTATTCCCATATTACAGATGGTGAAACTGAGACACACAGCAATTAAGACACCTACTAAGGTTAAATAGATGTGGGTTTTGAGCCCAGGTACTTTGGCTTTAGAGTCTGGGATATTAACCACAGCCAGCAAAGGAGGCAAAGGCATTTTTGGCTAAGGGAAAGCCTGTGCAAAGACATAAGGGCCTGGTGCCTGTGGGAAATAGCAAGAAGTTCATTGTGGCTGGAGCACGGGATACTGTGAGTTAGGAGAGGTAGAGGAGGAAGAGATGTAGCTCAAAGTAAAAACATGTAGTCTATGGCATATGCTCTATGCTAAGAATCATGGACTCTTCCTTGATACCACCCTCTTGTCCTTTAGAATAAATCAACATTCAATTTGTACCCACTGAAATATTTCTGTTGTGGCTACTATAGTTATTCCTAGATCCTTTACATGAAATCTATTGTTTTGGAGAACTGTCAAATCACAGTGTATCAATTTTTAATTCATGTTATGCTATAACACAACATATTCAATCAATGTAATTAGATATGCATATGTGATTATGGTCATTGTAAGAATGCAGATGAACTACAAATATCTTATAATAAATTATTTAAGAGATTCAGTTGTTATTTCCTAAAACTATATTCTTACACAAACACACATAAAATTCTCCTGTAGATAGCAAAATAGTGCAGTTATTACAGATATCAATTATGGCATAAACATGTTATAACTAAAATTTATCATATGTATATTAGGGTGGTTTTTTTTACCTTAGGTTGCCTAGAAAGAGTTGCCCAATATGCCAGCCGCTAAAAAATGAGGAAAATGAATCAAAGTTAAGTATAAATTCATTAGTCCATAGCATTCTATTACAACACATATAATTCTAAAATTGTCCCAATTAATGAACCCTGTATTATCTTCTCACACAGTGGCAATAAAGTTCAACACAATTCTCAGGATGCCTTAAATGAGGCCATGAAAATGACAATAGTGAGTCCTGCTGCAGCCAAGAATCTGTTCTTAAAATAGTTTTAAGTGAACATTACCCACATGATATTTTCAAGGCCAAGACTAAATAAAAACCTCACATTACTGAACAACAGTGTACCTCCAGCTGCACAATATCCAAGCCATCTGGAGAATCATCTAAAGGTTGAATATATCCTATTGTGAGAAATCATAAAAATATCAATTAGGAGAAAAGAAGTCATAGCATTAACTTTTAAATCTTTACCATGAAAAACATACAGAGATTCTAAAATGCAATGCCGTTAAAAAGGACTGACAAAGAAAACACACTCTACCACTAGATTTGCACCAAAATTAATTGAAATAGCTCAATTTTCTATTTATCAGGAGTTAACAGTACAAGAATTATCAAGTCAGGAAAAAGGGCAAAATGCCTAGGCAACAACTTAATTTATATTTTGATGGAATTTATGAAGATGAAATACCAGGAAACGGTGTCAAGTATGTGCATCAAAATCACTCTTGGAACATTTAAGAAATATGGATGCCTGGCTCTGTGCTTCATTAGACTCTTCAGGGGTAGGGTTGTGGGAAAGGATGCTATCAACATGCAGATGGATCCTGTGCCAGTCAACCTGTATCTGACCTAAATGAAGTCTTTGTCCCATTTTCACGTGATACAACACTTGGAGGAATAGCTAATACTGCAATGGGAAGAATCAACTAAATAGGTCAAAACTAACCAGCTGAAATTAAGTGGGATAAATACAAAACTCTGAACTTAGATTTTTAAATGTGAGAAAAGAAATATCTGGCCCAAGAGTAGAAAATATATTTTTAAATGAAAATTGATATTTTGCTCCCTGAAATCTCTCTATGAGTCAAGAAAAGGCTAAAAACTAAGGCAATCTTGTGCTATATTCAAATAATAGTGTCCAAACCTTGAAAGATAATAGTCCTAGTTGAAATAGTAAGATGTGTGGTAGAATAAAATGAGCCAAACATAGTTTTCTTTGACAAAGGGAAAAATTAGGAAGCATATGTTAACTACCTCCAAATATATTGAGAACTGTCCTAAGAGTTAGTAGACTTATTCTGTACATCCCCAAAGGAAAGAGCTAGGGTTAATGGTTAGAAGTTACATGTGATCAGATTTCAGTTTAGTGTAAAGAAGTTCTTGATGGTTGGTGCCATTCAAAAATGCAAATTAATTCAAACCAGTCCTATAAAGAGTTATTAATCAGTTCTGTGTTAACAATACAACCACAAAGACCATAGGGACCATATCCTCAGGGAACATGAAGTCAAATAGAAAAATGAAGGAGGTGAATATAAATATAAACAGATATATAAAAGACAACAAATTTACAAAAGTGTAATAGAAACAATATTCTATTGGAGCCCAAAGGAGGCAGCTACTGGCTATCTCAGGTTGGTTGTGCATTGGGTTTTACTGAAAGTAATCACATAGGAAAATCATAGAGGAAATCCCTGTTCTCCATGAGAGGCTAATCAAATGACTTTCACAGTTCCTTGAAATACTTAGGTTTTGTGATTATACGACATGATTAAAAAACACACATGCTGTTTGAAATATATTTTCTGTTTACATATATTTTCAAAGATTTCTACTCCCCTAAATCAAAACTCTAAACAGTTTGTGTTTACAACCCAGCTGTTCTGCCACCACATCCTTCCCTGCACCATACGGAGGGTTACCTGAGATGGGTAATGGATTCAGACTACCGACCCCATACAAACGCACTGGTTCCCTACAAACCACTGGTTCTAGGAAGTTAATGAAGCGACTCCAGTCAGCACCTCGGACAACGCCTCAACCTGGAAGCTGTGGGACCGCCGCTGGGAGCCCACAAGGCTATGAAAAGATTCCCTTTTCCTGTGCGCACTCCTACCCCACCCCTCTCCAACTGCCCCAGTCTCCGGTCTGTAATCTCAATTCTACAGTCTCTAGTTCTGTTCAGAATTCTGGGAGCACAAATGGCTAAGAAGTTGGGATTTCCCCAAGTCGTATGCCTCGCAGGCTCAGCGGGCACATCCTCAGGACAGCGGCAGGAGCTGTGTGAGACCGTTCAACGAGGGAAAGTTGCCTGCTTTAGTAAAAGGCTGTGATATCTAGCTCTGTCCACCCACTCTAAGAGGTTAGAGACAAACGAGAAGCCAGAAATTGAAAGGGTGGAAATAGGGGCAGGTGGGGGAATAAAGTTTGCCTCCCTCCAGAAGGATCAGGAGCATCTCAGTCTGTCTTAGAGCTCAGGCCAGCCAGGGTCTGATGAAGGGGTCCCCTTACCTGAGGAGGGATGCTGTAGCAGGCAGAAGCAATAGATGGCCAAGATGGAAGGGAATTGGGGAAGATACTTCATCTTTAAAATCTGGTTGCTCTTTGATGGCCACAGATGTGTCCTGCTCGGACAAGATGTGAGCGTTTTCTGAAGTTCAGCAGGTACAGGCAGCCCTCTGCTCTGTGTCTGATAAGTCCAGTAATGCCTGGAGCCCATTGGCTAAGCACCAATCAGCTTTGCGCAGGAGGACCCCGGCTTTCTCATAAATGTCATGCTGGGCTCTTATTTGGGAAATAATATCCTCCTGGTGTTGGCATTGTAGAGAGTCATCCTTTTAAATCCAGCAATAAAAACAAAAAGTGGGGAATCATAATTGTTATTCTATACTGGTTTGAGAAACATTACTGACTCTCAAGAAAGGCTTTTCTCTTTTTTAAATCAAAGATCTGGACATAAATCTATAAACTCTTGCATGATCAAGTCTTGTTCCTGAGGAAGCTGTTTCTTTTCCATCACTAACAAAGGATGTTTTGTAGTCTTTGGTGCATCTGAGAACAAAATTTGGAGTCCAGCCTATAACAAGAAACTAAAAAGTTCAATTATGTAAGGTTCTTTTAAAGAAATCATGGTTGGAAATCAGACTCTTGAAGGTTTCTCCAGATTCATTTATATAAGCAAGTTAAATATGACCTGTTAAGTCAGTATTCAAGAAAACATGACAATGTTTAACTATCATAATAATACTCCACCTACTAAGATTTTGTCTGTTTTAGACACTTCACATAGGTTATTTCACGTAATTCTCACAGAAAATCCATAAGGACTAGAGTATTAGGCTAATTTTATTAATGGGGAAACTGAGCCTTGGAAAGATGAAGGAACTTGCCAAGGTCACCAACCCATCAAGAATGCAGATGAGGAATTTGGACCCAAGGATGCAGCCATGTCTTTAAGAGTGTGGGATAATAGGTAGGTGCTGTTGTTGTTGTTGTTGTTGTTTTCTAAAAAGAGTCCCCTTAAGAATAGATATGGGAGATTAAAAATGGCAGCAGAGTAGGAGGATGCTGCATGGACATGCTCCCAGGAACAAGCTGGAATTACAACTGAAATACAGAAAGGCTTCCTGAATAATCAAGGGAAAACTCACAGGAGAGAACCCTGATACCCAAGGACTGAAGGTGGAGCTGGCATAGAGACTGGTAAGAGGGGTGGAGGCATGAAAGGGCTGGGCGGGCACCCACAGACAGCAACTGAAGTCCCAGAGAGGTATCTCAGCTGTTGGGAGGGGGGGGGGTGCCACTGAGAACTCTGGGATCTAATCCCCAAGCAGGACTCCCCAGCAGAGAGCACCAAACTGAGGAGGGTACCCACATAACATCTAGCTGTGAAAAGCAGTGGGGTGCTGTCTGCCAGGGAGTGGCAGCTGAAAGTACGGGCACCCTCTTAAAGGGCCAATGCACAAACATTCCCTGTGGAGCCACCCACCTTGTGCTCTGGCAGAGGGAGGGTGAAGTGGACTAGAGCTGTGAGAGCAGAACCCAGGTCTGGGGACTTGGGGGAATGAGCTCAGAAGGCAGACATTCCAAGTGTCCTAGGCTAACTCATTCCCTCACACAGCAGAAGACATCTTTCCCACATAGACATTTGCCTTGCCTGGGGGGAAAACAGTCGACACAACCTATTGAAAATACATTGCCCTGAGGCCACTTAAGAGATTAAAAGTAACAATTAGCAGAAGCAAATGCCCCACCCTGTTGAAAAAACTCTCACCACACTTAAGGACAATTGCCTGGAGGCAATTCAAGTCAGAATCCTATTAGTCTGACTCTGGAGGCAGTCTCTGGAGGCTTTGAGTCTTTGCCATCCAGTTAGTCAGAAACAGCCTCTAACACTGTCCTGCACTAGAGACTGAGAGGTGTAGAGGATTTACCTAAAACATATAGTCACAACCAAATAGACAACCAAAATGAGGAAACAACTCCCAAATGAAAGAACTAGAGAATTCTCCAGAAGAAGAGATAAATGAAGCAGAGATAAGAAAGCTATCTGAAACAGAGTTCAGAGTAATGATGGTAAAAATGCTCAACAGTTTGAAAAAAGATATAGTAACTATGAAAAAAAGAACAGTCTGAGATAAAGAATGACATAACACAAATAAAGAACACATTGGACGGAATACACAGCAGATTAGGGGAAGCTGAGGATCAAATCAGTGAATTAGAAGACAGAGTTGAAAATATCACACAATCAGAGAACCAAAAAGAAAAAACAATTAAAAAACAGGAGGACAGCTTAAGGGAGCTGGGGACAACGTGAAACGTAACAATATTAGAATAGTAGGTGTGCCAGAAGAGGCAGAAAGGGAGAAAGGAATAGAGAAGGTGTTTGAAGAAATAATGGTAGAAAATTTCCCTAACCTGGTAAAGGAAAATGTTACACAAGTTCAGGAGGCACAGAGAACCCCAAACAAGAAGAGCCCAAACAGACCCATGCCCAGACCACATGTTAGGACACAAAACAATTAAAATGCCAAAAATTAAAGACAAAAAGGGAATTTCAAAGGCAGCAAGAGAAAAGAAAACTGTTGCCTACAAAGGAGTTCCCATAAGGCTGACACCTGATTTCTCATCAGAAACTCTACAGGCCAGAAGGGAATGGCATGAAGTACTCAAGGTAATGGAAAGCAAGGATCTGAGAACAAGATTACTATATCCAGCAAGGCTATCATTCAAAATAGATGGTCAAATAAAGAGCTTCCCAGACAAAAACAAAAAACAAACAAACAAACAAACAACAACTAAAGGAGTTCATCACCACAAAGCCAGCATTACAAGAAATGTTAAAGGGATTGCTGTAAGGGATTGATGAGAAGAAGAAACACAGAGAGAAACCTCGCCATAAAGAATTAAAATGGCTATAAATAAGTACCTCTCGATAATAACCCTAAATGTAAATGGATTAAATGCTCCAATCAAAAGGTGTAGAGTAGCTGAATGGAAAAAAAAAAATGACCCAATTATATGCTGTCTACAAGAGACCCACCTCAAAACAAAAGACACACACAGGATGAAAGTGAAGGGATGGAAAAAATTTTCCATGCAAATTGAAAAGAAAAAAAAGCTGGAGTACCAATAATCATATTCGACAAAATAGGCTTTAAAAGCATCATGCTAAGCAAAATAAGCCAGTCAGAGAAAGATAAATATCATATGATCTCACTCATTGGTGGAATATAATGAACAACATAAACTGATGAACAAAAATAGAGCCAGATGGGAAAAATTATATGTAAGATCATTTTTTTGAATAATTGGTGTTTATTGCATGTAACATTATCATATTTAAAATAGTTTTTCTTGAGATATTAATGTTTATTGCATATACCATTATGATATTTAAGATCATTTTTCTTGAAATATTAAGGTTTATTGCATGTAACATTGTTATATTTAAAATTGTTTTTCTTGAAATAAAAAAACTGAAAAAAATAAAAATAAAAAATATCTTTAAAATATGTTTTCATTTGAGAAGCTATGCAATACACAGTGGGGCAAAAGTAGTTTTACAGTTGTTTGTATGGAAAATAATACAATAATTAATAAATAATCTATAGCAATAAAAGCATAATATGCTAATTAGACTGAATGTCCTCCTGGATGAAGCCAGAGCTGTGAGGGAAGCCTGGGTCCCGGGTGCCAGAGGGAAGCCAGTGCCAGCAGCCGGGGGAAGGAAGGCATACTCTTGCATGAATTTCGTGCATCAGGCCTCTAGCAATATAATAATAAATTCTGTGTTTTGTGTACTCACAACTGTAAGCCAGCTTTTGTCCCACCCTATATTTCTAGAGGCCTGATAAAGTACTTACTTGTAAAATGTTATTCTTCTGTAGTGAATTAGATTTAAAAAAATTTCAAAGACTATTTAACACAGGGGTGGGAATCTATTTTATGACAGGGGCCATTTGGATTTTTATAACATCATTTGTGGGCCATACAAAATTATCAACTTAAAAATTAGCCTGCTATATTTGGTCAAACATTTAGTTAACTCACCCCTAATGCCTTGGCAGGGCCAGACCAAATGATTTTGTGGGCCATATCCAGATGTTCCCCACCCCTAATTTAAACAAACGTTGTTTTTAAAACTTGCACACGAAATTTATGATCATTATAGAAAAATTAAGGCTCTGGTTGGGTAGCTCAGTTGGTCAGAGCATTGTCCTGATACACCAAGGTTGAGGGTTCAATCCCTGGCCAGGGCACAAATAAGAATCAACCAATGAATGCATAAATAAGTGGAACAACAAATTGATGTTTCTCTGTCTCTCTCTGTTTGTCTCTCTCTAAAAATCAATCAATAAAAAATTTTTAAAAAGTTTAGATATGGGACAGAAAGAAGACAACCGGGCTGGTGTGGCTCAGTGGTTGAGCATCAACCCATGAACCAGGAGATCATGGTTCCATTCCCGGTCAAACAACATGTCTGGGTTGTGGGAGTGTGCAGGAAGCAGCCAATCAATGATTCTCTCTCATCACTGATGTTTCTATCTTTCTTCCCCTCTCTTTTCCTCTCTCTGAAATCAATAAAAACATATTTTTTAAAAAGAAAGAAGATAAAAAAATGAAGTCTGGTATTGTTTACAAAAGAGGAAACAGACATGGCCTATATTAAATAAATGTTTGGATTTTTTCATCATGCATATCTTTAAGTTTTTCTCTTTTATGGACTAACTAACAACTGTTGAATACTTACAATATGCCTAAAACATGTTAATAATTTACCTGTCATATTATGTAATTTTTAAATGAATGAAGATTTAAAAAATAATTTTGATTAGGAGCTGCTCAACACAGAATGTTTATGACTTAAACTATGAATTTTGCCCCCAAATTTCTAATTCATAAGAGTGGGAATTACTGGTATGAACTACTTTATAGCCATAATATTTTGCCTACTTCTTTGAACCAGTGAGAAATAGAGATTTCTATTTATTATAGGATTTCTCGCTTTTGTTCAAGGAGAATAACCCAAAGTCTTTAAAATATGCCCACTGCCTAGGAACAAGTCTTTACTGAATGAATGAAGGAAGGAATAAATGCTTTTTGAACATAAACCACTTAGCAATATGGTATTAAATACAACTACTTCTGGACATTTTAGACACAGAACACACATATAATAACAAAGGTTGTGGCAGTTCTACTAAATGTCAATCACCAAGCACTTTTTGGACATTGGTCTGTGTATACCAGTGAACTGGGTGATCTATACCCAAACATACCTTTCTCAAATAAACCTCTGTGATAACTCTGATTTATATCAAATTTATTT